TTGCCTACTATTGTAAAATAGACACTTGAATGGGATAGAAAGGAATGTTGGGAAACATGATTAGAAAAACTTGTAAGCCTGCCTTCAGCCTATAACTGATTAGAATACTTAAAAGGGGTTCTACAACTTGCCCAGTGAAATAGGCCTAATGCAAAGCTTTTATAGAGTATAGGACCTTAGGTGGAATCCTGAATCCCATCCACAACCTTGTAAGGTAAGACATTCCCACTAGAAAGGACAAGCAAAATGGAACAGCTACAGTGACAGAAGATACATCTTCATAATTAACCTGATCTATACTCAGAGCGGGTAGTTACTCTAAATACCAAGAGAGAGGAAAAGAGTCTTCAAATCAAGTATCAATGCTATCCGCTCTGTGCACTGGGTAGATAAGGACGGGCAACTTAGACAGTGGCTATCTAAAATGAGGGGACAATAAAGGCACGAAGTGACTGGCTTACAAGGTTTCAAGAGGGAGCTTAGTTTAAGAGTGTGGGGGGAAAGAAAGAGACCCCACTGAATAGCTGTCATCTTGTCTAGATGGGTCTGGTGAAAGGAGATGGGAATAAGATTCGTAAGATTCAGTAGTGAATAACTGTTATCATGACTAATCACGACTGTCACAATTGTAAAGGTAGAAGTTTTCTAACAAAAAAAGGGGAGTGGTTAATCTTTCAGTCCAGAAACAAAGGACCCTAGGACCATCAAGAGAGGAACGCACAAATAGAATGCAAGACCTTATCCAGAGAAGCAGCAGCTCCAGAGATGGAGAAATAACATAAGAATTATTGGCATTCCAGAACAGGAACAATCACACAAGTCCACAGAGGAGATACTTGAAGAGCTTCTGGAAGAAATTTTCCTAACATCATGAAAAGTGAAAAATAAGCATTCAAGAAGCCTGGAGAGGGGCATGGAGAGGGGGAGCACTAAGGACTCTAGATTCATGGACTAAGAAGAGGACTAAGAACTGGTGGCCAGGAGCAGACTTGCAGAACGTGCCCTTTGGAGATGTAATTTATTATATATGCCTGAGTGGGGTTTTCTGTTTGTGTGTTTTTTAAAAGTGGATAGAGAGAAATACTTTTAACTGATGGTATACGGAGGGGATTATAATCAATGTAATGAAACAAGTTATATGA